AAAGTCTGTGACACTCTTATCTCCAATTAACTACCAAAAAGTTGAAGTGAAGCTGTGGTTAAACTGGTAGAGTGCTAGCCTTAAACACAAAAGCTCAAAGACAGTGCCTGAGCCCTGAGTTCAAGCCCAGGCGCTTGTGTTCTCTCTCTCTCTCTCTCTCTCTCTCTCTTTCTCCATATATATATATATATATATATATATCTTCACTAGATTAATCACTAATGAACAGTATTAGGAAAGAAAAGGATATATCTCAGATACAGTAGAATTTAAAAAGTCAAAATGAGAATAATATTAACGATTTCTAATTTCAAAAAACAACATGCAAAAAATTCTAGAAAAATATAACTGGCTAAAAAACGCTCAAAAATAAACCAGATGGCCTGCAGCTAGAGTCCTTTGGAGGGGCCCGAGGGAGCAGGCCAACCCAGCCTCTGGACTGGGACTGACTGGCCAGAGTAATAGGATAGCCCTGTCTCATCCCAGGGGCTTCTCACACCAGCACTCTGGCATGAATCTGGGCCAAACGACATTGGCAAGGCCTCGTTTGGAGAGATACACAAGTGCATTGACAACCACATCAAGGGAAGTGATGGTCATTAATATTCGTTGTCCTAGAGGGCAAAAATAGACGAATAACATGCAACAGGAAATCACCGTGTTCAGCCAGTATGATAATCCTTATATTGCCTGTGGTTCATGCCTATAATCCCTTCTCATCAGAAGGTTGAGATCTGAGGATGGAAGTTTAAAGCCAGCTGAAGGAAGACGAATACAAGAGACTTATTTCTAGCAAAAAGCCCGAAGTAGAGGTGTGGCTCTAGCCTGGTGAGGCTTAGTTGCTTCACCTAGCAGCTTCCCCTAGGAGCTGACACAGTCCTCTGGGAACTCATTGATCATAGGGCTGCCAGACCAAGGAACAGAGCTGCTATCCTGAAGCTCTGTCTTCTCCCTGCTCTGGGACATTGTTCCCCTGGGCTGCTATCCCCCTTCCCAGATGTTCAAAGATCCTTTGATCCAAAACCACAAGGTGCTATGTATTCTCCTAAGTAGTGACTTGATTTTTTGAAAAGAAAACAAAACTTACTGTTCTCTTAATTATTCTGAGGGTAATGTGTAGTTTTCATAGGATATTGAAGGCCACATTGCTTAATGAAGTAAAGACCCAGGCTGGAGTTCAGTCAGGTGGAGTACTGCAGCCTCAGGTTTCCCAATAACCACTTATTCCCCCCTCCTCCACATCCCAGACTCTAAGTCCTGTTACAGCTCACAGCAATGACATCTGGTTTTCTTTCTGGAAAAAAGAACAGTCCCACCATAATTATTCAAGAAAATGAACTAGGATGGGTGGGAAAAGGTGAATATGATCTAAGCACATTACAAACATGTATAGAAATGTCACAATGAAATCCCTTGGTTGTATAATTCACATATACAAATCAAAAATGAAAATGAATTATGCAAACATTTTCCTACAAATACTACCCTACATGCTTTCACAAGTAATTTCTGTTGGAATCATAATGAACAGATCATTCTAATTTTATACATAGTCATATGCAAAGTGTTCTAGAGAACTTATTGATATATTCCTCTGAATTATTCTATGAGCTAGGTATCAAAATCAGACAAAGAAATTACAACAGAAAGTTACAGGCCAGTCTCACATAGGCAAAAACCCATCACGTATAAGAAAGGAAAAAGTTGGAATATCCCAGGAATGCAATGGTTGGCATTGCATCAGAAAGAGCATTGATAGCTTGAAGGTAACTTAAACTTGAAATAGTTGGTTCATTAGTTGTACCTGATGGATGTGAAATTGCCTCCTAGTTCACTTTGTGTCAAGAGCTAAAACTGTGAACCTTTATTGGTGGATAATAACTGAAAATAAAGATTTATTTTCATGCTCAAAAAAAAGAAAGAGCATTGATATATACTGTAGATAGCTTTATGGATGAGTGAAAAAAAAGAGATTCTTAAATGAGTATTAGCACACTTATGTAAATATGTGAAAAAATGAAAGTGGATTCCTACCCTACAAAACATATAGAATGCAATTCCAGGTGGATAAATGAGGAAAATATCAAAAGCAAAGAATTAAAAATCTTTAACAGGAGATATAGTGGAAGATTATGTCAGACCTAGGGGAAATGGAAACATTTCCTTTTTTTGGGGGGGGGTCCGGTGATGGGGTCTGAACTCTGGGCCTGGGCGCTGTCCCTCAGCTGTTCAGCTCAAGGCTAATGCTCTACCACTTGAGCCACGGCGCCACTTCCGGCTTTTTTCTTCTGCTTATGTGGTGCTGAGGAATCGAACCCAGGCCCTCATGCATGCAAGGCAAGCGCTCTACCACTGAGCCACCTTCCCAGCCCATGGAAACACTTCTTAAGTAAGATAAAAATTCTTCCCACAAAAACATTGTTAAGTTGGGCATCGAGGTGTACTGTCAGTTCTTGGAAAGAGAGAGTTTAAATTTACCTTAATCTACATAGCAAGACGTGTCTCAAAGCAAAAGAAAAGCATTATCTGCTGCAGCAATAGTTCAGGTGATAGAATACCAGGCTAGTAAGTGGGAAGCTCTCGGCTCAAACTTCAGCATTGTAACAAAACAACAAAATGAAAACATTATGGATACATTTGTCTGCACTAAATATAAATATTGGGAGGAAATATTTGCACCATAAAACCGACAACTTGTTTTTTTCTTGCTTGCTATTGTTTTTAACATATCTAAAATGTACTATTGTGATTTTTTTGTTTCTTTTGTATGTTCTTTCCCCAAGGTATAACCCATTTTCACTGTATTTGATTCCAGTGCACTGTACCTTGTATTATACATTTTTCTAATTTGGGGAGGGGAAGTGAAATAACAAAATGCTGAAACAAGGATACAGGTTGACCCATTGTAACAATGAGATGTACAAGACACTATGTTGAAAACGAACTTTACAACTTGGGGCGGGGGGAGTTGGGAGGGAAGGGATGGTCTGGGAAAAACAAAGGAGGAGGTAACAATGCTCCATAGGAAATGTACTCATTACCTTACTCATGTAACTGTAACCTCTCTGTACACTAATTTTACAATAAGAAAACAAAAAAAAAATCCAAAGATTGGGGCTGGGAAGGTGGCTCAGTGGTAGAGTGCTTGCTTGCCTTGCATACATGAGGCCCTGGGTTCGATTCCTCAGCACCACATAAGCAGAAAAAGCTGGAAGTGGTGCTGTGGCTCAAGTGGTAAGAGCGCTAGCTTTGAGCTGAAGAGCTGAGGGACAGCACTCAAACTCCACAACTGAACCCCTCCCCCCAAAAAGAACTGACAAAGATTTAGTACCTAAAACATATGAAGAACTTCTAAATTAGTGAGAGGACAGCAGCCCATTAGGAAAATTGGCAGAAGACATTTGTTAGACACACACACACAGAAGACATTTGTTAGACACACACACACACACACACACACACACATACACACACCAATAGTCGCTGTTCTGGGCTGGGTCTCCTAGGAGCCTGAGACAGAGATTCTTGAGGGAGAGTGGTGTGCTAAGGAAGAATGATAAGGGAATGAGGGAAAAGAATTCAGAAGATGAAGCAGCTGAACAGTTTTGTTTTCAGTTTGTTCCCATGGGATGGCACCACAGATCAGTCCCACCTGGAGAGAAGGGACTGGACATTTGTATTCTTCCATCAACCAGTTATGGACTGAGGGATGTCTCAGGCTTTTTCAGGTGAGTGCCTCCAATTGGCCAATGACATTTGTTTAGGGAAGAAGCTATAGGACAATCTAGCAGCAGCTGGGCTAGAAGAAGGTCTGCACTTGTTCATTAAAGAAGATTTGCATATCATAGCATCTACTATAATCTCTCTCATTACCAGTCAGTGTTAAATTTTTAAAAAAAAAAAAGGAAAAAGGTGAGTGAAAATAGACTAAGAGATGGCTCAAAACCAGCAAAGGTTTATTAGGAAAAAAAAAAAACCTGCAAGGGAGGAGCCTCCAACCAAAGCCAGAGGTTCACGCCTCACTTCCAATCTGAAGAATTTATAGAGAGTCAGAAAGAGTTCTAGAATTGTCTAGTGAGGGTGATTTGAAAGTAACTAATGATGAGACAAATAATGGGAAACAAGGTCATAGTTGGAGGTAGGGAAGGAGCCTAGCCAGGATATTTGCTCAAAGCCCAATATGGGAGAGAGGGTAAGGTAAAGTGTTAGTAAATGAATCAAGGCACTGTTCTGGGCCTTAAGTGAAGGACATCTGGCCATTTGGACCCAACAGTCAGGGAAATGGGAAATTATGACCTAGATGAAATATGATTTTTTAAAATTCTTTGTAAAATAATTTTATTGAGGTGTAATTCACAAATAACAGAACACATTCAGGTTAAGTGCATATTTTGATTAATTTTGGTAATTCCATGTAAAACAATTCCATCATTTAAAAAAGTTTCCTCATTTCTCTTCCTCTGGCTCCAGGTAACCATGGAACTATTCCCTACAGTTTTAACTTTTCTAGAATTTTATATTAATGGAGTAAAACAATATTTAACTATTTTATTTTGTTTTCTTTCATGTTTTATTTATATAGTTTTGTCATATTTATATGTTTATTAAAAGTAACTGAACTATGAACACATTTTACTACTTCAGTTGTAGATCTTAAGCCAAATAAATAGATTAGTATTAAAAACAGCAAAATGGTTATTTTCTTAAAGGTACATAAAAGATTCAATCAAATGCAACAGCATAGGAAGACAATCACCCCCATTTTAGAAATCACATCTACTTCTAAATAAGGAATATGACCATTGGACATATTGAATGAAAATTTATTTCAGGCTTTGCTTTCAATAATATAAATACTCTTTACAACTACATCTCATTTTTGAATATAAGTTATGGGTATGTGGGCTAATAATTTTCTGTAAGTATTTCTTTATTCAGGCCCATAAGCCAAGTGCTTTCTGAATATTACAAGGTGATAATACATGAGAAGTGGAGGAGGAAAAAACATGGAACACTTCATGAATATACATGTCATCCTTATGCAGGGGCCATGTTAATCTTCTCTGTATTGTTCCAATTTTTGCATATGTGCTACCAAAACAAGCATGATATTTAATCATTGGTGAGTGACTTCTTCCACGTAGCATAATGTTTGTAAGACCATCTATGTTGTTTTGTGTTATTTTATTTTTAATAGTGATACAATCTAACAATACTAAGTGCTGGAAGGGATTGGATTAAGTGAATAATTGTTGGTTGACTGTACATTGTGGTTATCCTAAAAAACTCTTGCATTTAAGTTGTAAAAAACATTTTCTTTTGCTATGAGTTAGTAAGTCCGTTCTTCCTTCCTTCCCTCCTTCCTCCCTCCCTCCCTCCCTCTCTTCCTTCCTTTCTTTCTTCCTTCCTTCCTTCCTTCCTTCCTCTCTTTCTCGTTCTTTCTCTCTTTCTTTCTTTTTCTCTTTCTTTCTTTCTTTCTTTCTCTTTCTTGCTTGCTTGCTTTCTCTCTTTCTCGCTCTCTCTTTCTCTCTTTTCTCACTCTCTCTTTTCTTTCTTCTTCTTTCTATCTCTCTTTCTTTCTCTCTTCTCTTTCTTTCCTCCTTTCTCTCTCTTTCTCTCTCTCTCTCTTTCTTTCTCTCTCTTTCTCTCTCTCTCTCTTTCTCTCTTCTCTCTTCTCCCTTTCTTTCTTTCTCTCTTTCTCTCTTTCTTTCTTTCTTTCTTTCTTTCTTTCTTTCTTTCTTTCTTTCTTTCTTTCTTTCTTTCTTTCTTTCTTTCTTTCTTTCTTTTCTTTCTTTCTTTCTTTCTTTCTTCCTTTTCTTTCTTTCTTTGCCTAGGCACTGTCCCTGAGCTCTTTTTACTTAAGGCTATCGCTCTAGCACTTTGAGCCACAGTGCCACTTCCAGTTTTCTGGTGATTAATTGAAGAAAAGAGTCTCATGGACTTTTCTGCCTGGGCTGGCTTTGAACAGCGATCTTCACATCTCAGCCTCCTGAGTAGCTAGGATTACAGGTGCGAGCTACCAGTGCCCAGTCAAGCTAGTAATTGCTGTAGTGCAAACACTTAAGATAAAATATTGTATATGAAAAACAAAAAAGAGAAATCAAACTGATTAAAGTGTGTTATATGCACAAAATAGAATATTATACACTGGTTAAAGAAATGAACTGGGTCTCTGAGTGGCTGCATGAGTTATTATTGGAAGCATATAAAGTAAAGAAAGAAAGTACCAAAAGTTTATTTGATTGTCTATACAGTATATCTCTTTAAACTGGAAATAGGAAACGCTGGAATACAGGGTTCAGGCACCCATGAATACAATGAAACTATAAAAGAGGAATTCAGTGATAAATACAATATTAAGACAGTAAATCTTCTGCTGAGGATGTAGGAGGATTGGATACAGAAGAACATATAAGTAGATACAAGTTATTTACAATGTTATAGTACTTAAGTAGTGATGTCAAGGATTTTTTTTTATTATATTCCTATGTAAATTAAGTGTTTATTTGTTCACATGGATAAAATACCACAAACTAAAAAGAAAAACAGTATTTATAGTTGATGGTTTATAGTTTGAAGAAATATATTCCAAGTGAGTCATCTGATCATAATTTTTATCTAAGTTCCTTGAGTAATCCACAGTTTTTTTTCAAGATGTTTATTCATAATGATTCCTTTGTCATGTTTGTTTTCTGGAAAAAGGCCCTGAAGGAAAGTTTTAAGCATGCTTACTTAGCAGGTCATCATTTAAAAAAAAAAAAACAACTAAGGCACCTGAAATTTCCACAATATTTAAGCAACCCTCAAATTAACACTTTTGTGCTGGAGCAAACTAATTTATAACATGTCGTTTTGATATAATAGCTCATTAAAATATCTGAGTTGGTTTACTTTTCATGGGTATATGATGTTTTGCAAGGTAGCAGTTCAACTGTCCTGTGAAGAGTATAAATCAAATAAAGGACACAACTCAAAGATGATCCACATAGACCAAGGGACAACTTGTTAAAAATATTAATAAAAAATAAAATAAAATAAAAACAACCTTTTATACCATGCCATTCTCTTTTCCCTTACAAATATAGCTGTCTTTTCCTCAAATTCAGGCATTCTAGGAAATAATTTTTCAAGAAGTGCCTTCCGTTATAATAATCTTTTTAGATGTTTTTGGGCTTTCCATTTGACAACCTGCTAATCTTTTCTGAAGAAAGTGATCCAGCTTTGGGATCAAGATCACTGACATTAATACTCTCTGTCTTGAGCTGATCTACAATCCCCACATTAATCTACCTACTCCAACTTTACTTTCAACAGATAAAAGGAGCCCACCATTTTATAGAATAAAACTGATGCATCTTAGGGATGATGCCTCTGTGTTGTCAGTACCATTTATTACTACTGACCATGTTGGATAGGTAACGTAAATAAAGGCAGTGAATATGGGTAAGATAATAGGAAGGGTAGGGACTGATTGAGCTTAATAGCTGAGCTTTGCTGTGTGCCAATGTGAACTGAAGTGGTCTGAATTTTAAGAGAAACCAGATCCATGAATGTTAAGTAGCTATTGAAGCCCAAAACCATTTATCTATGGTATTTTCCCTGTAGATGGCCATGTTACCTTTTTCTTTGCTATAGTTTGGATCTGAAATGTTGCCTGAAAGCTCATGTATTAAAGTTTGACAGCCAGCCTGTGTCATTCTTGGGAAGTGATGGAATATTTAAGAGGTGTAGCTGAATGGAAGGAAGTTAGGTCATTGGAGGGATGTCCTTGAAGGGCTATTAAGCCTTCTTCTCCTCCCTTACTTGCTGAGTATGTTGAGATGATAGCTTTATTCCACTGTGTTCCCTGTCATGTTGTGCTACCTCTTCACAGACCCAAAAGCAATAAGTTAACCAAACATGAACTTAAACCTTCAAAACTGTAATCCAAATCAAACATTTTGATTTTGTTCAGGTATTTTTTCACAATGATGGAAAGTTGATTAGCACATTCTTCCACACGTGTTTTGGTAAGAAATCTATTGCTGCTTTAGCCACAGTTGGACTACATTTTCTTCTTCACCTTACCTGCTATTATCTCTGCTGGAATGATGAGAGAAGCTTTCTGAGTTGGAAATCAGATGTATTTTCCTGTAGAAAAGAAAACTCATAGAGCAATCTTGTGGGTTCATTATGGATGAAATAGACAAACAGCTCTAGTTTTGCTTGGGAAATCTAAACAACCTTTTCTGGCTTCTAAAGGAAAACACATTCTGAGTTCCAAATAATTGACTTACATGATTTTAAAAACACAATCAGCACTTGAATTAAGAACTACTTGTTCTGGAAACTACCAAAAATTTTTTAAAATGTTTTTTAAAAAGTGACTTGTCCGCTTCTTTCCTTAGACAGCTATGTATTCCTGAATTGTTTCATCTATTTTATGACATCAATTAAAACATTTTTCTCTGAAATTATACCAAAACACATGTCCATGTATCCATCCATATTTCCAGGTGTTTCTTTGAATAATATACTAATTTTAATTTGCTGCTAATACAGTATTTTAAAAGCATCTCTACATTTGAACTGTCCTTTCACTTGTAAGGATTGTCTGTTTACATTAATTGAACATAAGTTTTTAATGTGTGTGTGTGTGTGAGTCCTGGGGCTTGAACTCAGGGCCTGGATACTATCCCTGAGCTTTTGTGTTCAAGGCTAGTGCTTTACCACTGGAGCCACAGCTCCCCTCCAGCTTTTTGGTGGTTAATTGTTGATAAGTCTCATGGACGTTCTTGCCATAGTTGTCTGAGAGCATAAACCCTCAGCTCTCAGCCTCCTGAGTAGCTAGGATTACAGATATGAGCCACTGGCAGCTGGCTTATCTACAGTTTTAATGTATGAAAACTAAACTTCTCTTTGTGCTGTAAGGTCCTCCAGGATTAGACTGAATCTTATTTATCTTTATACTTTTTTTTGCTTATGATAGGTTTCTGAGTGGTAGAAACTGAAGAAGTATTTCCTGGACTGAACTGAAAAATTATGGTTCTGCTTCATTTTGAAATATGGGAACATGACACCTGCCAAGGAGGAACTTAGGTCATTATAAATATCTTTCTTGATTACTGAGATGAATCAGGTTTAAAATCTAGATGGTGTGATTAGCATTTTCAAGAATAGGAAAAGTATTTCATCTTTGGATAAAAAATGCCTGGTTGGGGCTGGGAAGGAGTCTCAGTGGTAGACTGCTTACCTAGCATGCATGAAGCCCTGGGTTCAATTCCTTACTACCACATACACAGAAAAAGCCAGAAGTGGTGCTGTGGTTCGAGTGGTAGAGTGCTAGTCTTTTTATTTTTTATTTTTATTTTTTTATTGTGAGAATACCGTACAGAAGAGTTACAATTACATGGGCAAGATAACGAGTCCATTTCTTATCAAGCGTTGTTGCCTCCTCTTTGTTTCCCCTTCCCCCCTCCCATACTCCCTCCACCTCCCCCAGCCCAATCACCCCCCCCCCACCAAAGTTGTGAAGTTCATTTTTCGATATAACGACTTGTACATCTCATTGTTGCAATGGGTCCACCTGTATCCCTAGTTAAACTATTTGTTTTTGCCATTCCCCTCCACAAATTATACCAACAACAAATACAGTGAAAGCAGGGGTCATACCATGGGGGAGGGACATACAAAGCAACATAGAAATCATCTTATAAATATGTTAGAAACAATTGCATGAAAGAAAAAAAAACACTTGAATACTTCTCTTGGGGTTCATTCCCCTAACATTAACTTACCTGACCTTTTCTGCTTCACTCAGACATATACTAGTTATTGCAAATAAGAGAAAGCATGGAACCTATGTTTCTTTAGGCCTGGCTTAGTTTACTTAATATAATTTTTTCCAAGTCTTTCCATTTCCTAACAAATGGGGCAATGTCATTCTTTCTGATAGAGGCATAGAATTCCATTGTGTATATATAGCACATTTTCTTAATCCGTTCATCTACTGAGGGGCATCTGGGTTGATTCCATATCTTACCTATGGTAAATAATGCAATAAACATAGTTGTGCTGGTAGCTTTAGTATGGTCTTGTTTGTGATGATTTGGGTAAATGCCCCAAAGT